GAGGTCCCCAGAGCCATTTTTTCTCGTCTTTAGCTGCTTTTGTATGCTACAGGGTTGCCAGATAAAATGTAAGATTCCCAGTTAAATTTGAATTTCAGTTAAACAAAAATGTTTTATTGTAAATGTCCCACATATGGCATGGGACATACTTACACAGACAGTCCCTGACTCAGGATGGTTCCACTTAAGATTTTTTGACTTTAGGATGGTGTGAAAGTGGTACACGTCCAGTAGAAACCGTACTCGAGCACCCATATGATTATTCTGCTTTCCACTTTCAGCAGAGTTCAATAAATCACATGAGATCGTCAGCATTTATTATAAAGCAGGCTTTGTGTTGGATGTCTTTGCCCAACTGTAGGCTAATGTAAGTGTTCTGAGCACGTTTAACGTAGGCTAAGCTAAACTATGGTGTTCAGTAGCTTAAGTGTATTAAATGCATGTTCGACTTAACGATATTTCCAACTTGCAATAGGTTTATCGAGACATTGCCCTATTGTAAATCAAACATCTGTACTAAAAAAGTATTTGCTGTTTCTCTGCAACTCACATAACTGCAAGTCCATGGGGGCTGGCGGGTTAGCTCAGTTGGTTAGACCGTGGTGTTATAACACCAAGGTCACGGGTTTGGATCCCCATACCAGCCAGCCAACCCCCCTGCCAAAAAAAGAATCACATAACTGCAAGTCCTATATTTTCATTTGCTAAGTCTAGCAACTGTACCCATGGGCTTCTCCAAAACTGAGCTGGCCATCTGCCCTCATCCTGTCCTCCTCCACCCCAGGGTGGGTCTCAGGGTCACTCTGCTCCCTCCCCACCCAGACACCCACCCTTATCCCCATGCTGTGGCCCAGTTCCCACCCCCACCCCCAGGTCAGCTGGAGTCATGCCTGGTCCTGGAAGCCAAATAGATTAGAATAGTCACAGTGATGGAATAAGAAATTGAAAAACGTCTGCGTCCTTCCCCCATGTCCCCCCCCCCACTTAGAAGCTTCCTGTGGTTCTCCTCGCTGCCAGGGGAAAAACCCAACTCGTCCCGGTGCTTGCAAAGTCCCCACCACCTATCTGTCCTCGGCCCCCTCTCATCTCCCCTCTTCACCCCACTCTAGTCCCACGGGCTTCCTCCGTATCCCTCAAATCCACCAGACACACGTGCGCCAGGGCCTTTGCACTGGCTGCACCCTCCATCTGGTGCACGCTTCCCCCACCTCGGAGCTCAGTTACTATTTCCCAGATTCACCTCCTCCAGGGAGCCCTCCTGGAGTCCCACCACCATCACCAAGGTCAGGCTCCTGGTTACCGACAATGGGCACATGTGTTCTGCTTCTCTCTAGGTAGTTTTCCACTTATGGCCCCATCACCAACTAGACAGCAGCTCCGGGAGGGTGGGGCTGGAGGCGGAGACTCAGCAGTGATGAGCCTGGCACACACAAGGGGCTCTGAAAACAGGGTCTAGCTGAACACACGATCAGTTTTCAGACTGTTTTCAGACTGTGTGTGTTGATATAATTGTACTTGCACATGTCTCATAAGTATAGGACATGATGCAGCGGGATCTGGTGTACGCCTCCCTAGGCTCCCTAGTAACATCGCACAAAATTGTAGCACAATCTCCCAGGCAGGAGGCGGACGTGATGTGGGCCCAGTTCTGCAAAACTGTATCATAATTTTGGGTTCCGTCACAAGGGTCCTTCATGTGAACCCCCCTCACCCCCATCATCATCCTTCATCGCAGGCTCCATTTCAGTAATTTTGTCATTTCAAGAATGTCATATAGGGGGCTGGCCGGTTAGCTCAGTTGGATAGAGCGCCACCTTGTAACATCAAGGTCAAAGGTTCAGATCCCTGTACCAGCCACCAAAAAAAAAAAAAGACAGTCATGTAAATGGAGTCATATATCATGTAACCTCGTGGAGACTGGCTGTTTTGCTTGGCAGAATTCCTGGAGGTCCATCCAAGTCGCTGGATTTATCAGTAGTTTGTAGTTTGTTCCCTGTTACTGCTGAGTGGAATTCCATGACGTGATGCACCACGGTTCCCTTAACTTTGTTCTTCCTGGTGGCCGGCTGGGACAGCAACCTGAACTCTTGACCCGAGTGTTGTCAGCACCACCCTCTAACCAGCTGAGCTAACCCATCACTCCCTTCATTTGTTCAACCATTTGCCTGTTGAAGGACAACTAGGTTGTTTCCAGTTTGGGGCAATTACAGATAAAGCTGCTGTGAGCATTTGTGGACCAGCCTTGGTGTGAGTTGTCCTTTTCCTGGGATAGATGTCCCAGAGTCCTCCTTTAACTGTGCTTTTTCAACAAATTTGTTTTTCACAGAGAAATCCATCACGTCTCTCTATACATACCCCAACACACTTGGTCATTCATCCCACAAATATTTATTCAGCCCTACTGTGTGCGGGGCCCTGGGGTCACACCGGGGAGCAAGTCAGACATGTCTCCAGCAGGTATAGTACAAGGTGAGCACACGCATGATGCTGGGCAGCCCTGGGCAGGCCCAGAGGATGCACCTGGCCAAGACTGGAGGAATCCAGGAGGGCTTCCTGCAGGAGGAGGCAACTGAGCTGAGACTTGATGGATAAGTGGCGGTGGGGTGCACCCAGCAAGAAAGAGAAAACAGCCTGTGCAAACGCCCAGAGGCGAGAAGGATGATAGCATTTCAAGAAGCCACAGTTGAGAGTGTAAGTTCGGGGTGGTGGGGGGGGGGGGA